CCGCTGACCACTGACCATTGACCACTGACCACTGACCGCTGACCACTGACCATTGACCACTGACCACTGACCATTGACCACTGACCACTGACCACTGCACCTTCACTGACCACTGACCACTGACCACTGCACCCTCACTGACCACTGACCATTGACCACTGATCACTGACCACTGACCACTGCACCTTCACTGACCACTGACCACTACATCCTCAGTGACCACTGACCACTGACCACTGACCATGACCACTGACCACTGACCACTGACCACTGCACCTTCACTGACCACTGACCACTACATCCTCAGTGACCACTGACCACTGATCACTNACTGCACCTTCACTGACCACTGACCACTACATCCTCAGTGACCACTGACCACTGATCACTGACCATGACCACTGACCACTGACCACTGACCACTGACCACTGACCACTGACCACTGCATTTCCCAGCTGGCTCAGCAGATTTAGGAGAGGGTTGGATTTGCTCTGGGCCTTGCAGGGGAAAGCCACATCTCAGGAGGTTCAGGGGCACTGCTGGACCCTCCAGGGATGTGTTTTTGTCCCATTAACCCTCTGGGGATGTGTTTTTGTCCCATTAACCCTCTGGGGATTTGTTTTTGTCCCATTAACCCTCTGGGCATGTGGTTTTGTCCCATTAACCCTCTGGGGATGTGTTTTTGTCCCATTAACCCTCTGGGCATGTGGTTTTGTTCCCATTTACCCTCTAGGAGCCGGCTGGGCTTTCTCAGGGGGAAAAAAATTAGAGCAAAAGGACACTGCATGATCTGGGTCTATTAATATATAAAAATATATTAAAATGTAAGGATGTATGTAGGACGGGTTTAGAACAATTTGGTTGCAGTGCGGGGGAGGTTTGGAGCTGTTTGGGTTGTTCTCGGCTATGGTAATATGGAAACAAAAATAACACAAGGAAATGTACAAGGAAAAGGAAAAGGAAAAGGAAAAGGAAAAGGAAAAGGAAAAGGAAAAGGAAAAGGAAA